ACCACCTCCTTCACGCCGAAGGACTCTCGCTATGTCTCTATGAGGCGCTGCCTCTCTGTCTGTGCCCACCACCACCTCCAGGGAACTACACTAACCTTTTCCACTGGTGGCACTTGCGCTACTAACTTTTCAGTTACTGGCGCAAAACATGATTTGGTCGCACAAATTATTTATAGTAAGCCGCACTCTGGATAGTAATGAATAATAATGAAACTGCATTAGGGGTGGAACGGTACAGAAGTCATGGTTGGGTCGGGTTCGTACCTTGGTTCAGACATTCAGACGGTTCGGTACGATTTCAGTACAATGGAGTGAAAAGCAAAACAAAAATGCAGAAGGCATTTTTATAAATGTCTTAAGCCTCATATTTTTTAAGTTGTTTAAGTTTTATTAATAAAGGCATAGAACCAGTTTATTTGTAGTGCACTGACAGTAGTTTTAGATAATTAATTTATTAATAAAAAGACAAAATGACCTTGACATATGTTTGGTAATTGTACTTGAATGAATGTAAAATTAATTTGCAATATTTCAGATCAATATATTTGTTTTCCTTAATTTTAACTAACCCTAACTTTATTCTCATCTGAATTATAAATACATGATTTCCGTATAAAATAATTACCATTAAAACACATTTGATTTTCTTTTTTAATCAATGTAGAATCATACGCAGGACTGTTGGAAAGCTGTGATGACAATAAAATGATAGCTTATAAATATATCTCTGGTTGTTTCTGTTCCACAACATTTTGTATGTCATGTTTGGGGTGTGGGATGAAGAGAGGGACATTTTCAGTAATTATTTAATAAAACATTTAATTTATCTTCAGTGTGTAGTATTAGCCAATCAGGTGTCTTGATGCGAATCACGCGATTATGATTATAAAAAACTAACGTTAGTCTAAAAAACTGCTAGTGATCATATAACGTTAGTCGATGTCAATATCAGCGCTAGCAATATAATTAGTTAGCTCATGGCAGAGATTATCAGCCGAACACCAGACCGCAAATCTACCTTTGGTGTAAGGAAGAGACACGGTGTCTTACATCTCTGCGTCTTTTTCCTGCCGCCATGAAGGCTCAGATGGTAGCCTATATGATTATGATTAGCATACCTATTATAAAGACACAAACCTTTTACTATCATGTCATTTGAATAATATGCGCACGATAGAGAGAGAGCAAGACGGCGCTTGTGTTGTGTGAAGACGTGATAGTGCGCGCGCGGCCAGGGCGCGCTCTCTCTCTCTCTCAGCTCGTTTGCGCCCTGTCAAACACATCAGTCATTCTACTCTACAACACTCACCGCGATCAAAAAGGCTTTGGCAGGACAAAAAGCGGACGATCCGACAGGTTTTAGAAGATTAAATACAACCCGAAAGAAACTAAAAAAAACAGACCGTCAAAATAGTCAGTGATACATTTGCGACCCATTAAAAATTAGGGTCGCAATGGGATTTCAAAAGGTCTCATATGCGACCATTTGGTCGCAGTGTAGTTCCCTGACCTCCTCTAGCTATGTCTCTATGAGGCGCTGCTCTCTGTCTGTGCCCACCACCACCTCCTTCACGCTGAAGGACTCTAGCTATGTCTCTATGAGGCGCAGCTCTTCTGTCTGTGCCCACCACCACCTCCTTCACGCCGAAGGACTCTAGCTATGTCTTCTGAGGCGCTGCCTCTCTGTCTGTGCCCACCACCACCTCCTTCACGCCGAAGGACTCTAAGCTATGTCTCTATGAGGCCCGGCCTTCTCTGTCTGTGCCACCACCACCTCCTTCACGCCGAAGGACTCTAGCTATGTCTCTGAGGCGCTGCTCTCTGTCTGTGCCACCACCACCTCCTTCACGCCGAAAGGACTCTAGCAATGTCTCTATGAGGCGCTGCCTCTCTGTCTGTTGCCCACCACCACCTCCTTCACGCCGAAGGGACTCTAGCTATGTCTCTATGAGGCGCTGCCTCTCTGTCTGTGCCCCACCACCACCTCCTTCACGCGAAGGACTCTAGCTATGTCTCTATGAGGCGCTGCCTCTCTGTCTGTGCCCACCACCACCTCCTTTCACGCCGAAGGACTCTAGCTATGTCTCTATGAGGCGCTGCCTCTCTGTTCTGTGCCCACCACCACCTCCTTCACGCCGAAGGACTCTAGCTATGTCTCTATGAGGCGCTGCCTCTCTGTCTGTGCCCACCACCACCTCCTTCACGCCGAAGGACTCTAGCTATGTCTCTATGAGGCGCTGCCTCTCTGTCTGTGCCCACCACCACCTCCTTCACGCCGAAGGACTCTAGCTATGTCTCTATGAGGCGCTGCCTCTCTGTCTGTGCCCACCACCACCTCCTCACGCCGAAGGACTCTAGCTATGTCTCTATGAGGCGCTGCCTCTCTGTCCTGTGCCCACCACCACCTCCTTCACGCCGAAAGGACTCTAGCTATGTCTCTTATGAGGCGCTGCCTCTCTGTCTGTGCCCACCACCACCTCCTTCACGCCGAGGACTCTAGCTATGTCTCTATGAGGCGCTGCCTCTCTGTCTGTGCCCACCACCACCTCCTTCACGCCGAAGGACTCTAGCTATGTCT